GAATTACTCCAAATCAAAGTAGAAGGGTGGTGCTACCATAATAAGCACACAAGCCTCAATACGGAGCCAGTGTTTCTATATACAGGCTCCTTGAAATCTGTATATGTGTTTGAGCGCTCCACTTACAGGTGTAGGTCCCTGTTACTTACACCGCACTTAAATCTACAATTTTGTTTAGTGGAATAGAGGATATTTCCACACAAGTGTATAGAGCTGCCCGTAAATCACTTTCGTCTTTTCAGCACTTTGTTACACACACTCCTCCGTAAAAAGAGGTAACCTTTAACAGTTATTTATAACTGTTCATACTTTTATAATTACCCTTCCTATATTTTTTACAGTTACTGCTGCTTTTTTTAGCCTGACTATTTATTCAGTTAGATTTATTTATATATCACTTTAATTAAAAGGAACCTTTGAGCATGCATTTTTTTACAATGCAATGTTATTATTCAAATTAGTCATATTTGATTGACATGCATAATTGACACATAGGCATTTCATATGGCAACATCGATGTTCCTCACATTTGTTACAGCCAGTAACAAATATCATACAATGGTTTCTTTTTTAGCTCAAATCTGTATTTTCTGTGCGGGATAATGCCTGAAGTGCCAGGAAACATTCATATTTATAAAACACTCCAAATAGCAACAATGGTCACACAAAGACAGAAATGGGTGGGATTAAGCGTATTAAAAAGAAAAGCATACAAAAATGAGACCGAGGGAGCTTGACATTTAAAGTTAAGGATAGCAATTGTGCTTTTTTTATTTTATTTTCTGTTTAATTTCAGAATGTGACATTTCACATTTATCACAGACCGGGATAACAACTGGTGAGAAGTGTGAATAAAGGACTTTCAGAAGGAGGTCGTGCAGTTTTGAACTCCCAACATAATGCTTCTTTACAATCAAAATAATTTGTTTACTTTTGGTTTATTTTGGTTTAAAAACACTTAATGCATATTTTAGTTAAGGTATTGAAATGTTTCAAATGTTATTTGCGAGTCAGTTCATTAGATTGTCTAGTGTAAAAGATCAAGTGTATATCGCACAAGACTCCTGTTGATCATACCCAACAATGTATTTTTTAAAGCGAAATCCTCTTCTATTAGAGAACAATGAAAAAGAAAGACCCAACTTCATATGCAGGGCGTATGTCACGAAAGGGTAACACTGAAGTCTTTAGTTTGTAGTTCATTTAAACGTGAAAGATAAAGAGAGAGAGAGAGAGTGTGTCCTCCAGAATTTATTTTTCTCTTTTCTTCATTTCTTTTTTTATTTTTCCAAATACATCGAACATTATTAAAAAAATGGCAGCATATATAACTCATCACTATTATAAACAATGTATCATTTATGGCAGAGGGTAGAGGGAATATCCCAGACATATATAACAATCTGTACACAGTGGATCCTGTCAGAGGGGCACATAGATGACTGGGATGTAGGGTCAGGGGTAGAAACTCTACCTACATGCATGTAACTTAATATTCCCCCATATAAACATCCTATTTACCCGACGACCACCTGATGGCAAATGACTCATGACTGACTACACTCTACCTAATGTACTAGGCACATCTATCCAAGCTCTTTGAAAACCCGCTCACACGACGGCCCAACTTGGTCAGAGTCAAACCTCCAGCGTAGGTGATAAGGGAAGCTTCCTGTGAATTAAGGGTTGGACCCCCCCCAAATACAACTCACCCAACATTCACTTACATGTCAGGGTGGCGTGCCTTTGAATTTCCTCAGTGGGACCACATGCCGGGAGTGGAATGGGTACAGGATATATAGTAACCCTAAAGATACCCTAAAGATAAATTGAAGTAAAGATGATGTTAATTTATGCTTTAACACTTGAGTAAATAAAAGTGCATTTTTAATTGTGCACAAAATGGTCTGCACTATTGTCTGTTTTCCTTTTCTTTTTTATGGTGCGTGCCTCGAAAGAAGGATCTACGTACCATTACATTAGGATTTGATAAAGGGCATTTATAAAAACAAATATATGTGCAATATATATAACTTGCTGGTCTTTTAATAGGGCATTACTCCTAGGGCATTGTTTTATATACTCTGCAGTTTCTTTTGTGGTTTATCAGCCTATTGCAAAAGGGGTCGAGGACAGATCCCTAAAAATAAAAAACAATGTTAGGGGATCGTGAAACTATTATTTTTCTCGGGGTGCTTTTGTGCATTTATTTCACTAATATTTACTATTGGCTTTGTTTAATCACTATTGTTGACTTACTGCTGTTAAGCACTATCATTGCAGGCTTATTCTATGTTGTGGTTGTGTGAACATTCAGAAGCCAACCTGTCAGCCATTTTAGTGAATATCACAAAGCTTTAAAGTGATTTCTGGGCTTAACTGATTTAGCATAGTGGCTCTTTATGCAAATTAAGGAATCAACTTGAATGTTTTCCTTATAAGACTGTTTCTTCGCTAGGCAACGCAACAAAGGTAGAATTAATCAAGTGGCACATTTATTTCGCTAAGATTTAAGAAGCAAGCTAAATCTTGAAAATGCTTCATACCTCTTAGGTTAGGTTACTCTCTAGGTATTTGCAAATTAAGTGTACAGCCTTATATTTTCTTCAGAAAGCCACAGGATAAACCTCATGAATCATTGTGGTTCAATTTGCTTAACAGTAATGGTGGATTGTGAATGACAATTTCCAAAATGTAGACTAAAATAGAGAAAAAAATATTTTTTAAAAAGTGGTTGGTGACTTACAGGTTTTTTTAATAAATTAATAAATGTGTACATTTTTCTTGCTTTCTAGATTCATTTTTTTTGTGTGCAAACTCATAGTTTCAATAATATTAGGGAAAAATGTATTGAAGGGACACTATAAGCACCAAGTCTGCTTAAGTTAAATGAAGCTCAAAAAATGTAACTCGATTACCTGTCATTTAGGAGTTAAGTAACTTGTTTATGTTTATGCAGCCCTAGCCACACCTCGCCAGGCTGTGACTTACACAGTCTGATTTTTTTTATTTTCCCTTGTAGCACAGTGTGTTTAATTTAGAATTTCTTATCTTTGTTTCTGTTTATAGCCTGCTACAGCTTGCAGGAGCCTCCTGTATGTGATTAAAATTCAATGAACAGAACAGGAGAAAATAATTTATGATTTAAACGCATGCTGTCAAATTATTATTTTTTATTTAAGGATGCAGTGTGAATATCATGCAGAGGAGGCTTGCATAAAATGGTTTGAATACAAAATGGCAGAGAATTGAGCAGTAAGACTGCAGGGGCATGGTATGTACACCAAAACTGCTTTATTAAGCTAAAGTTGTTGTGGTGCTTAGAATTTACCTTTAATAATGTATACTGCAACAAAATATGCAGCTGCACTGAATTCAGATTTATATGTTCTGCCACCTACTGTGGACTCTGCGTTGTTTAGCAAAATCATTTTCCAATCTACTCCTTCACTGTAACTGCATTATCTTTCTTTCCGTTTTTTTCCTTAAATGACAGTGAATCGTAAAATCTCCAAGAACTGTTTCCATCTTATTATCTCTCCAGTTTGAGCAATTTATTTTTACTTTCGAAAGTAACATAACAAAAGGCTGATTACTCATTCGATAATTGAGTTCTTAAATGTCAAAAACAATATGGCATAAATATTCAACAGATCCCGTTCTAAAGTAGTGAGGAGCCTTAAATCACTTACACCTATTGTTCTTTGCTAGAATTTATGTTAATCTGAATTTCTAAATGTGACGGATAAGGTGCGCTTAAAAATATATTGTTTTGTAGCTCAATAATGCAACAATTTGGAGTTAAATATGCATTTGATGTGTGTTTTCCCTAGAAACAGAATGTCAGACACATAAAGCAATAATGTATCTAAATGAAGTTGCATTTAAAATTGTTTTTCATAAACTCAATGAGAAATCACTCTGCTTGCATTTAATTAGATTCATTAGAGGGACGGTAATCGCAGTGGGAACCTCAGCAAAAAAGATTTCATGGAAAACTATTGTGCAGCTACTGCTAAAATGAAGAGGAAACAGTTGCATAACACATTTGTTTGGTTTCTCTACAAGAATATAAGTAAGCATTAGGATGTCTAGTAAATAAAACAAAACAGCTTCATTATAATAAAATCAAATAATTTCCTTCTCTACAATTTCTGATGTGAATTCTAATGAGTAGGCAGACAGTACTGTTGCAATCAAAAACTATCTCTAATGTTCTCAATAAGACATTCAGAATGTAGGTGTTTAAATCAACCCTGACCAATAACTACTGGCGACACCTCTTTTTGATGGATGCGTTTTTCACCTGTAAACGTTTCATATAATTATTTATCCACCTCATTTAGCCCTTGGCCATAAACTCATGCTTTTTTAAGAGTGAGGATAGAAGTCTATGATGAAGGAAATTACTCTGAGTGACCAGTGTGGTAGAAAAATCATGCGCTATCTTCGGGTTTAATAATTGTCAAATAGCCAGGAATTCTGATTTCAATAGGTGGTATGGGGACAGGGATGAAAACTATATCCCATTATCTAGAAGACGGTTTACTAATGTCGAATGGGATAATGGTAAAAAGAGCATTGTAAGACAGGAGACATGGCAACGACTAAAACTGATCACAGGAACTACGTTGGATCGATGTTGGGTCAAAACTGTATCAGGAACAATAGTGACCAACATATTAAATAATGAGACTGAGCAAATTATTACAACCAAGCAGAGTTATGCACTAAAGTGAGAATTCAATGTGAATTTCAAATCTAAAGTCAAAATATGTCAAAATCCTGAACTTGAAGCATGCTCTAAGTCTCCAATGCTTCCAGTTCAGCTCTGGCATTAACTCGGTAATTCACTTTCAATTCACATTAAATTCTCACTTTAGCAAATATAAAAATATATCTCTACTGGTGGTAAGTAGAGATGTCGCGAACCGTTCGCGAACTTCCCACGAACGGCTCGCCACGGTTCGCCACGAGCCGTTCGCGGTGAGCTCCGGTCAGCTGACACATCCCGGCCAATCTCCAGCAGACCCTCCCTCCCAGACCCTCCCACCTCCTGGACAGCATCCATGTTGAAGGAACCTCCTGGACAGCATCCATGTTGAAGGAACATGGATGCTGTCCAGGAGTTGGGAGGGTCTGGGAGGGAGGGTCTGCTGGAGATTGGCCGGGATGTGTCAGCTGACCGGAGCTCACCGCAAACGGCTCGTGGCGAACCGTGGCGAGCCGTTCGCGGGAAGTTCGCGAAAGGTTCGCGACATCTCTAGTGGTAAGCTTAACCAAGCTTGTTATGGAGAGTGATTATAATTGTTAAGTTTAATAAAAAAAGCTATGCAAGTCCAAACAGAAGATACACTGAAATTTTTTTTTTTAAGTAATAGGGGTACAAATATATATTTAAAAAAATACAATACCAACATATAAAAAATATAAAGTGTTGTACATGGTTTACATGGGCGCACCCAAAGTGCCAATCACACTGTGTGGTTTTTTTACTTGTTAGAATATTTATGATTTTATGTGTGCATTTTTGTGAGAAAAAGAAATCCACAAAACCTAAGTAAGCTAAACTTCTTACCAACCTATTGTCATGAATAAAATGATTTAATTGAGAAAATGTGTACTCTCAAATGTTCTTTTATGAGTAAGTAAAAAAAAACAAAAAAAAACAACTGATAAATGTAAATATTTTGAGGTTGGACATTCCACCTACCCTTGTTAATAAACAGCAGCTTGCAATGCAACACCAGAGATGGTCATGTAAGTATATTATCCATTATATGAAGCAATCACCCTGAGGCTTATGGCGCAGTGTGTGGCCACACAATTTCATGCTACATTATGGATGACACAAAGCCAAATCGCTGTCTAAAATTGAATCCTGGTTCTGTCAGTCTACTGCAATATTCCTTGATAAATAAATCTATCTCAAACAAGATAATCATGAACTTAAACACCACCATCTCTAATTCCATGAACATCCCATTGCAAAATGAAAGTAGTTAACGTTAAATTGAAACTTCTAGTGATTTTTACCGTTGACTCAATTACCCACAGTGTGTCGTAGTCAATACTGTCCAGTAATCAATAGAGTTTCATTAATTCATTGCTATGCTCTTACATAGGGATCTGCTACATCACAGAATTTTATATTATTATGTCTAGTTACCCCATATTTTAATAAATATGAGCTCATCAGGTCGGAACATAAATGTAAATGTAGAAAGAATTCACTCCTTTGTGCTTACCTATGTTCTGAGACACATGAGTACCTCCATCTTGTTTTCCAGTTAATAATTGTTATAAGCTCTTCCTTCTTCTGTATTTTAAAGAAGAAAAAAACACAGTAATTGCCCCTGTCAGTCAGCACAGATATTTCTCTACAAATCCCACAAAGGGTCTTGGAGACAGAAATAAAAAATGTCCAAGAGGGAACTGTAACTTGCAATGAGTACTCCCACTGTGCCAGGACTGAGCTAGACTTGTGATGTCAATTTATGAGATTTTAATGTACAGTTAAAAGAAAATGGATTAACAGGATTTTATACCTCATAACACGCACTGCTAATTGGCATACTCCCTATGGAGTTGGGACTTCACTGTCAGCTCTGTTTCACACAGCGGCTCAATGAAGGGTTCTGTATTGACGTCATCTAGGCTGATCAGGCTAGGGTTGCTGTTGAAACAAGGTTTTAGTCTGGTGGGTCATTGCTCCTATATTCTGGTCTCCAGAAGCTAGCTCTGTAGATTGGATTAAAAAAAATTTCTAGAAGACTTAGGCCGGTTGTCCGATAGTTGTGGAAAACTAAATCAAATGTAATTTCATAAGAAAATCTTAAACTACATAACTTCCATAGTCCACATTTCTTAATAAAGTTAATGTATTCTCTTTTATTTAAGAGCTGATGCAGCACATTACTCATATACTTATGTTATTCCAGTTATTCTGTAATTGATAGATACCTGATGAGCACTGTTTGACTAATTATTTTGTTTTGTTTTGTTTTGTATTGGTTTGTTTTGAGCAGAACTAATTATTGTACATTTTTACTATCTAGATTCTATAATAATTGGTGCAATAGATTTATTTGATTTTAGAAATTATGAATACATATCTTAAATTTGACAATCTGTGTCTTATTTGTTTAATTTAAATTTATCTTTTGCAATTAATGGTTTGATTTTTTTGGGCGGGGGCTTTTGTTTAAAAATTTACCTTATTATGAAAACATTTTGCATTTGTTCATGAGAAATTGATTGTGATTATTTGTGAATATTAGCCACAAAGCTATACCTTTTTATTAATACCTGTTCGGACAGAATAGATAAATCAGAATAATTTCTTGACAAATTATAGGAGAATTTCAATGCTTTCAAAGTTTTATTCAAATTTGTAATTTTCAAGGAAGATGTATCAGAATTTTAGGATGTCACACTCGATGATACATAAACACTCAATACACACACACATGAAATGGGTTCTAAGAGGCCGCAGGAATCTGAATGTGCTTGATCAGGTACAGGTTCCTACATAACAGACAGTTTATCCATGTATGCACCAGACATTCAGAGGTTACTCCTCCAATATTTGGGGGTTTTCTTTAAAAAAAATTAATTGTAAAAAGCAATATTCATCTGGGAAACCAAAAGCTGACTTTATAAGAATACTCAGAATGAGCAAAAATGTATTAGTATACATGTTTTTGCTAATTTGGCCCATTAGAGAGAGAACCTATGGAAGTTGTATATCAGACTGAATCCACCCACAGTCCAGGTACTAAAATCCTAAATGCATCTGATTGTATGAGAGTTCCAACAACCCGATCTGATAGCACAGTAAGTAAAGGGTCCAAATCTAGATTACCATTTTGAAAAAACCCTTTAGCTCTCTTACATCAAATGCACTAGACCAAGGGTAAAGCTGCACAACATACAAATTCTGCTATTTAAAAATAATAAAACATTTTTACTATGTTTAATTAACATTAGGGAATTCATTACATTGTAGATCTGCATTCCGCTTTCTGTGTTTTCTATCTTAATGCGTTCAATGTTTAATAGAACAGGACTTTATGACCCAGGCTCCATAAAACCGGGGCATGGACTGAAAGCAAATGAGAATAACTAGTATTGTGCAATACTTGAAATAAGAAGTATTCCTATATTTTTAAAAACCAGCTTGTGATAGCACGATGCAAAAGGGTTTCTTCAGTAAACAGTAAAGATCTAGGGGGAAATACAAAGTACTAAAATGTTGCAATTTCCTAGTTTCACCACACATCAATTAAAAGTTAAGATAAAAAAAATAATGCTTAAACCAAATCCCCCACGATGATCTACCACTTGGTGTATTTATAAATTAGTTGGTCTGGGGAACAAATAATGCAGTGGACAAACGAATGGTGGAAAATCATTGCTGTCCATCTTGCAATGAAAGGCTAAAGAAGATTGCCTTAGCTTTTAACGCAATTGAAATGTGAAGAGAATATCAGTCGGTTTATGAGGAGCCATCATTCATGATCCACGGAATGCCATTAAAAAGAACATAACTACTGCATTACTTCTCTGTACACAACAGATATGAAAATAGCACAGAATTTAGATGATTCTCCATGCTGGAATCTACTCTCAATTACATCACAAACTTCATAAGAAAGGTCAGGAAGCATGGGAATGCCAAGTTAGTACTAAAATGAGATCAATCGAAATTTCATAATAAAGGCAAATAAACAGCAGTTCATTAAAATGATTGTCCCTGATGCGTTTATAAAGCATATTGAGATTTTCTTTTCTACTTCGTTTTCGAGTGTAATGTAAGTAGACTTTTCGAAATGCTCTATAGCAGTCTTTATAATATGGTCACTGAAGCATATTGAGGAATGCAGCACTATTTAAAAGGGCTATTTTTGATAATTACCATATTCAGAGGTAATTTTGTGCAGATATTGCTTCTGTTGCATGTTGGAACTCAAACAATTCAGGCTCTAACGTGAACTGGATTTAAAGTGATATTGTATACTGTATCATATAAAAATGGTTCATTTTTTTATAGATCAACTGTAATTACACTTAGGCACCTTATGAAGATCACTAATGTAGATTTAACTGTGAAGACCTATAGAAAAATATAAGAATAATATAAAATATAAAAATATAGTAGTCTTTCCTTTTAAAGTAGGTTACTTCATTATTACCCCAAGTCAATAGTTTTCCCCCTGTCAGAATACAAATCCTTAATCCTACAGGCGTATATGTTATCAGAAACAATATTTTATATGCTGTTTCTTTATTAGTCGCATGCACTGGCTCAGATCGACATCATGTCTACTGGTAGATATGTATGATGGTGGTATTACATAAATAATATATAAATATCTAATTGTTTGCTTCCTTTTTTTCTTCTGTTAGTCACTTCTTATTTGATCGGTGAATAAAATCAACATTTACTGACTGTCCCCTGGCCATTGCTTATCTTTTTTCTTACCAATCATCTAATTTTTTTGTTTCCACCGGCAGAATTCCGAAGAATGAATCAAAACGAACATTCTGGTCCATTGCGTGATTTGTTTGGGTCATAATTTGGCTACATTTAGGCTTGACATATTGAGAATCTCCAAGTTTAATTTGAATTTAAATCAAGACTCCAAACAGTAAATTGAAAAGCTCTATTTCACTTGACTCTCTTTTTACAAAAATTTGTAGTTGATTAAAACTTAAATTGAATAAATTGGTGAACATTACAACGTATAAAAATTGCATGAGCAAAAATATACTTCATAAAAAAAAAATCAAAAAATTTAACTTAAAAAATCTAAAGCTTTACATAAGCCTCCAAGAATATCCCAAAAACGTTTAGCCTTAAAAGTGAAAATGGGGGGTCTGGGGGTTCCTATTTTAAAGGACTTCCAGAAAGCTGCGACTTTTACACACGCAGTTATTACTCAACTAAATGATAGTAAGAATGAAATATGGTACAAGATAGAACAAGACCTCACTTCAACTGAGGGATCATCGTTGGAGTTGTCTGTGCTTTTTTGGCCTTTAAAATTAGAGACCGATCATAAGGTAAACCCCATTTCATCTAGTGTTATCCTGAACAATGTCCTAAGAGGGTGGAAAAAAACGAAAAACTCATTAGGTCTCTACAATAAGTTAATCCCTTCCCTTCCCTTAAGGAATAT